GGCCTGCCCCAGGCAGACAGGACGAAGCAGTGAGCAGAAGCTGAGACCAGCACTGACCAGTGACACGAGAGGACCTGCAGCACCTGGAGGGGCGGCCCCAGCCTGCTCAGGCCAGGACGGCTCTGCAGCCAGCCACGCAGCCCAGGCCATGCGGCCCGCTAGTCTGTTCACGGGAGGACTGGCATGGGAGAGGACACAGAACTCAAACCGGAGTGCAGGCTGGAGTCTCAGACCCCACGTGAGCCCCAGAGCCCCGGCCTCGTCTCCCATGGACATGTCACTACACAGCAGGGAGAAGACTGGCTTCAATGCAGCAGATCCGGGCTAGAACTCAGGCTACGGCCACGGAACCCTCACCTAGGCACTGGGTGGGGCTGGCAGGATGCCAGCAGCGCACGGGGCCCTACAGGCGTGTAACGGCAGTAACAGTGGGGCGTGCCTAACGCCAGGGTGATAGTCCAAGGATCTCGTCTAACCCAGCCACGGGCGAGACTCCAAGGTTGAAGCCTCAGGAAAGGCCCTAGTCCACGTGGTTCTGGGGTTGCATAAACTGAGTCACAGCCAGCCACTCCTACCTCCAAGGCTACAGGACTGCACCACCCGGCAAAGGCGGCCATGTGGAGACTGTTAGGGGCAGCTGTTCAGGGACCAGATGGTATAATGGTTACGTCACTGGACTCCCACGGAGTTGACCACGGTTCAAGTCCCAGACCCACATCGGGCCCCAAACCCCAGGAGTTCATGGAAAAGGGATTGCATATAATGGAATGCATACAACAGCCATCCCCCAGGGCGTGACTTCCTTCTTTCTGTCCCTCGGGTGAGCACACGCCCCTATAACAAAATTCTCTCTTACGAAGAAGGAAAAAAAGAGAGCAGCTGGTCAGGTGACAGGCTCAAGGGACAGTCTCCCGGGAGAGGGAAGTACCTTCCTACTCCCAGGCAGGCGTGGGTGCAGGGAGTGCCGAGCATCACCCAGCAACTGCTTGCAGAGGCCTGCGTGGGCCAGGGCCAGGCTGTGCAGACGGCCCTCTGCAGGGAGTCACGTCAGAAAGGCACTGCTGTCTCAGGCCCCCAGCTCGCCGGACTCCCACGGAGTTGACCACGGTTCAAGTCCCAGACCCACATCGGGCCCCAAACCCCAGGAGTTCATGGAAAAGGGATTGCATATAATGGAATGCATACAACAGCCATCCCCCAGGGCGTGACTTCCTTCTTTCTGTCCCTCGGGTGAGCACACGCCCCTATAACAAAATTCTCTCTTACGAAGAAGGAAAAAAAGAGAGCAGCTGGTCAGGTGACAGGCTCAAGGGACAGTCTCCCGGGAGAGGGAAGTACCTTCCTACTCCCAGGCAGGCGTGGGTGCAGGGAGTGCCGAGCATCACCCAGCAACTGCTTGCAGAGGCCTGCGTGGGCCAGGGCCAGGCTGTGCAGACGGCCCTCTGCAGGGAGTCACGTCAGAAAGGCACTGCTGTCTCAGGCCCCCAGCTCGCCACTGCAGAGGCGCCAACTGCACCTGCTCTCTGGAAGCCATTCCAGCCCAACGCCAGGACACGGAGGGCAGGAGAAAGTAGAGCCCAGCCCAGAATTGGGACTTTTCGTTTTCAATTTAGGGGCTGGGGCCACGTCAGGGGCAGGGGTCCTTCGCTGGCTGCACAGGGAGCAGGAGGCTGCAGGGGGAGCTCGCCAGGCTGTGTGAGCGTGCCGGAGGCAGGCAGACCTGGGAGGAAGTCCATGCCGACACTCCTGGTACCAGGTGCCAGTACCTGGTGAGACCCTCAGCTTGGGGGCTGGCACAGACACAAAAGTCACCAAGCCTCTAGCCAGCGCAGGCGCAGGCAGGGGACCAGGCCCAGCTGAAGAGCCTCTCCTACTGGTCCTGGGGGGAAGAGAAGAGCCAGGGTTCCAGGGCTCCTCCAGGTGCTCTGAGCCCCAGGCTGCGGGCTTGCCCTGACCCCCGTGTCCGGCAGGGTCACCAAGGGCACAGCGAAGCAGGCCCACTGCAGGCAGCGTGCAAGGCCAGGTGCAGGCAACTCCATGCGTGGCAGCTTCCAACGTCGGCCCACGGCCCGTGCCCAGGCAGGCCCCACACAGGGCAGTCGGGGACAAGCCTCGGCCTGTCTCACAGGTTCAGGGAGCCTCGGATGACGCAGTGTCCCCAGCCCTGAGATGGGGGACCTGTGATGCCAAGGGAGATGGGCATTGGGGACAAGGATGGCAGGGTGGACACCAGGCTCCGCCCGCCCTGGGAGCCCATAGCCCTTCTCACGGCTGTGCCAGGAGGACGGACCTTGGGAAGACAACGCAGAGCTACGGCGTGCCCCGCACACGCCTCTTCCCGCCCGTCGGCAGCCGAGGCACTTACCAGGTGCTGCATGCGGACGGCCTCCAGCGGGTAGTCCCCTTTGGCCGTCTCTCCAGACAGCATGATGCAGTCGGCGCCGTCCAGGACCGCGTTGGCCACGTCGCTGCCCTCGGCCCGGGTGGGGCGGGGCTTCTTGATCATGCTCTCCAGCATCTGGTGGGGGGGGAGCCTTGGTGAGCGTGGTCTGGCCACACCGAGACGGAGATGTGTGAGCGTCAGTTGGGATGGGCTGGGCAAGACCAGGCCGCCCCACAGTCACCCGGCAAGCCCAGGGGGGCGCGTGCCTGCGTGGCGCAGATGACGGGCTTCCCTGCTCGGTTGCAGCGCCCAATCATCATCTTCTGGGCGAGGAAGACCTTCTCTGCGGGAATCTCGATCCCTAGGTCGCCACGAGCCACCATGATCCCATCGCTGGCCTCCAGGATCTCGTCAAACCTGCAGGGAAGGTGGGGACAGAGGAGGTTACACCGGATGGGGACCCCAAGTACGGTGTCCTGGGACTCCCCAAGATGTCCACACACCAGGACAGCTACCCAGGGCCGCCCCAGGCGTGTGGAGGTGGCTATCGTTCCAGCTGCCTCAGCCCCTGCTCACCCTCACGCACCCCCCATGGGCCGAAGACCACGCCTGCCGGGCTCCCTCAATGCCAGTGTGGACGCATGTTTGCAGGAACGGAGGGCCAGGCCCCATGCCTCGTCTCCTCTCCCTCCTCCACCAAGCACTCCCGAGGAGGGAGAGGACCCCCAGACCGGCCCACTGCTCTGGCACAAAGGTCGCTGGCCTCACCTGACCAAGGACACGGGGGGTTACCCGTCAAGGCAGCCCCCTCGGATTAGCTGGAGGGGAGGGAACGTGGCCCCCTGGCCTGGCAGGGTCAGCCCCAGCACCCCCAGCCCAGAAGGTCAGGCCTTGACAGCTCTGGGCTGTGACTCTGGAAGGGTGTCCCCGCTGGCTGTGCTCACCGGCTTTACCACCTGAGCACTGAGGGGCAGCCTGGCTGAAGCAGAGGAGTAGCACCGCGTTCCTGCGGGGGCCGAGCAGCCTCACCGGGGCCAGCCGCCTTCCAGGTGACGGCCAGGAGGCCACAAGCTTCAGCCAGACGCTGGGCCCCGAGCGTGGACATGGATCCCGAGTGAGGGCCACAGAGGGCCCCTTCCTTGGGGTCTGCTGGCCTCCCTGTGGCCCCTTCCCACAGATACCACCTGGGGTCCAGGTGGAGCAGGACACGACAGCCCTAGGCTGAGTGGCCCCAGAAGCTCCGTTAGCACAGCAGCACCTTCCACCCCCTAAAACACCAAGTCGGTGGGTCTGGAACAGGGTGGGAGTATGAACCCTTGTTTTTCTTTGGAGAGGTTTTTGCTATAGGGCACATGCACTCGCCAGAGAGAGAGAAACATAGAGACAGAAAGTGAGAAATCACCCCCCGGGGGGACGGCCATGCCGCAATCCCTTCTCCATTCTCCTCTCGGGATCTTGGGCACGCACGCACATGTGCCCGGCGTGAGTTTAAGCCACCAGGTCCAGGACTCGAACTGCAGTCCCCGGACTTTTTTTTTTTTTTAAAAAGAGATTTTTGCTATAGGGGACATGCACTCGCCGGAGAGACAGAAAGCAAGAAATCACCCCCTGGGGGGAGATGGCCGCGCTGCAATCCCTTCTCCGTTCTCCCTCAGAACTTTGCACATGCATGCACGTGTGCCTGCTGTGAGTTTTAAGCCACTGGATCCGGGACTTGAACCGTGGTGGAGTACACGGGAGTCCAGCGATGTAACCGCTGCGCCATCTGCTGGCCCCAGGCTGTGGGCTCTGACGGGCGGGCCCGGGTGTGGGAACGGGCATTGGCGGGACCCCACAGTGGCGTGGACTCACCTCCGGACGCCCTCGTGGTTCTCGATCTTGCTGATGATCTTGATGTTCTTCCCCTTCTCCCCCAGGACCTTCCGCACCTCGTGGACATCGGCCGCCTTGCGGATGAAGGACGCGAACACCATGTCCACGTCCTGCTCCACCCCGAACTTGAGGTCCTGGATGTCCTTCTCGGACACGGCGGGCAGGTCCACGGCAGCCCCGGGGAGGTTCACGCCCTTCTTGCTGCCCAAGGAGCCGCCGTTTTCCACCTCCGTCACCAGGTAGTCGGCACCTGTGGGGAATGGAGCAGGGTGGGGAGCCGGGTCATGAGGGTGTCCTCTCAGCAGCGAGGTCGGGAGCAAAGTGTGGCCCTCTCCCTGCTGGACGGCTGGGAAGCAGCACATCCCGGGCCCATGGGCCCCACTTCGCGAGTTCAAATCCCAGCTCACGCTTCCTCACCTGTGAGCAGGGGTGATACCCACTGGCAAGGCTGGCACCTACTGGCGCTAGTTTTAAGCAGACAGGCCCAGCCGCGTGGCACACAGCACCACCACGAGGTAGGCTGAAGGCCACACGGGAGGCTGGACAAGAGGATCCAGAGCAGCGAAGCCCCGTTGCAGGTCCCATCTCCGCCTGCCTCCCCCTCACCTCCCTCGCCTTTCTTCTCTCCCCGCAAGGTGCACACACGCACGCGCACCTTCAAATAATCACCACGCAGAGTTCGAATGCCCCGCACTGGGCCTGTCCTTCCACACCAGCTCCCTCCCCAGCAGAGTGGAGGCGGCGGGGGGCCAGCCCAGGCACGGACGTCTGCCTCTGAAGACACGCGTGTCGCGAGGGCCCCGTGCCAGCGCCCCGGCCCCTGACGTACCTTTCTGCTTCACCTGCAGGGAGATAAGTCCGTCGTCCACGTAGATCTTGCTGCCCACGTCCACCACCTTGCAGATGTTCTTGTAGTCTAGCCACAGAATGTTCTCGTCGCACTTCTCCATGTAGGCGTTGTCCAGCGTGATTTTCAGGGTGGCTCCCTTCTTCAGCTCCACCTCGGCGGTGCCACTCTGCAAGTTGGGGACAGAGGACGCTGAGGCCAGTGCAGACACCAGCGCCCCAACCCACGGGCCAGGGAGGCCCGCTCTTCAAGGAGCAATGCTCCAACCTCAGCCAAAGGGGCAGTATGGCTTCCTGTGTCCTTCGTGACCTGCTGCTGTTTCCTAACCAACTGCAGTATGTTTCCAGGAAGGAACCCAAGGAAGTAACTGCTTCTGTTACGCCACTCTGCGATAGGGAGAGGGTATACACTGCTCCCAAAGCCAGGCTCTCTTGGAACTGTGCTTTTCTTCTTTTTTTAAGTTTGCCAGAGGGTGTGTGCCCTCATTGGAGAGAGAAAACCGAGAAGGAAAGTGAGAGAGCACCCCCACAGGGACGGTCATGCCACAGTCCTTTCTCCTCCATCCTTGCAGGGTTCTGGGCACGCACACACACATCTACCTGCGTGTTTTTCAAGCCACTGAGTCCAGGACTCAACCAGGCTGTTGGCCATGTGGGATCTAGTGGCCTTAACCACTGAGCCGTGGTTGGCCCAAAGCAGGTTTTGTCTGTTTGAATGGCAGAGGGTGCATGTGCATGAGAGAATGAAAGGGAAAGCACCCAGCCCTGCACGGGACCCAGCCCACATCCCCTTCCCACAGTGCCCCACCACGGCAGGACTCTGGACACCCGTGTGCACCCAGCACGCTCTGTCGAGTCTCTGGGGCCGAGACTCAAACTTGGCAGCTACGCGGGGTCCAGCTCCTCTGCACGGCGTTGAACCGCCACACTCAGGGGCTGGCCTGAACGCAGGTTTTTGGAGTAAGAAAGGTTTCCCGTGGTATCATTTCCCAGCCAAGTAGAGTGAACCGCATTTGCTTCGTGATGAATACGCCATCAGGGTGGGCCTAAGCCCTGCTGGCCTGGGCGGTGCAGCCCAGGGGGCGGTGCGGCCCGTGCCGTGCGCAGAGGAAGAGGCTCGTCTTCGGCCCAGCTCGCTGCCTGAGCCCTCCCTCGTGCGTCCCCTGGATACTCACGCCCTTGATGAGCCCGGTGCGGATCTCGGGTCCTTTCGTGTCCAGGGCCACAGCCACTGGCCGGTAGAGGATGGGGTCCGAGGCGAAGCTCTCTGTGGCGGCCCGCACATTCTTGATGGTCTCTGCGTGGTACTGGGGAAGCAGGATGACAGGACTGTTCTGTCACACTGCAGGCCAGCTCCCGATCCGGCCCCACAGGAACCCTACGGTCCCTCCACCCCCCGGTATGGCCTTGTCACCCCCTTCCGCTGAGCAGCCGACTGCCTGACTTCACCCTTCTTGTCCACCCACTTGCACCGCAGCCCCGCCTCGCCCAGGGCCAAGCGTGGAGCCTTCAGAATAACCCTCTGGAGAACTCGAACAAGCAGCCGGGTCCCTAGGACTCGTCCAGCCCTCAGCAAACAAAGCTGGGCGGGACCTCGGGCTGCCCTCGTGTTTGGAGAAGCCCGTCTGGCCCACAGGGTCAGGTTCCGACAGGTGCGCTCACGCCGACAGCCCTGCTCTATCGACTCCAGCTACAACTCAAACGCCGTTATTGACACAGGCTAGCAGTGGGCCAAGCTTAACAACTGCTGCTAAGGTCGCAGGGCTCTCACGCTCGCTTTCTCAACCGATCAGTGAAGGGGCGTAGGGACCGATGGTACGCGGCATTCTCGGTCCACTGCCCTGCTTCCCTCGCACCGTGCGTTGGCGCCATCCCCCTATGAACTCTGGCTCCACACTCCCCTCCTTCTTGTCCTTGCCATTACTGTCTGATTAAAGGGGACTCAGGAGGGATCAGCAGTTAGCGTAGTGGCTGTCGCTGGACTCCCATGTAGTCAACTGTAGTTCCAGTCCCAGACCCAGTGGCTTAAAACTCACGCCGGGCGCATGTGCGTGCGTGCCCAAGGTCGAGAGGAAAATGGAGAAGGGATTGCGGCGTGGCCATCTCCCTGGGGGGTGATTTCTCCCTTTCTGTCTCTGTGTCTCTCTGTCTGTCTTCATGGTAAGCGTATGTGCCCTATAGCAAAAACCTCTTTAAAAAAAAAAAAAGACTTGGACCTAGATAAATGTCAAAAGAACTTGGTGCAATCAACATGACATCGCTGATAAAGGGGCACCAGATTCAGCACTCTGGGCCTGTCCTTTACCTGGGAGAGGCTGGGAGAGCCTCCCGGGCAAGCAGGCCTGCCCTTAGAGGCTGCAGGGAATGGCGGGGCCCCTCCCGGGGCTGTGCCTGCAGTACCCAGCCACCAAGTAGTTCAGGAGGAGGCACTGCTGGCCTTGGGGCTGTATGTTTGTCTTGCAGAGGTCCTCACTTAAATTATAAAATGCCCTCGGGGAACCAGCAGGTGGTGTGGTGGTTAAGGTGCTGGATACTCCCACATGGCCGACCATAGTTCGAGCCCTGGACCTGGTGGCTTAATTTCTCATTTTCTCTGTCTCTGTCTCTCTCTGGTCAAATTAAAATAAATGAATGAATAAATCATTTTTAAAAGACAAAAACTATATTATTAAAAGAGAAAATTAGGGACCAGCAGTTAGCGTAGGGGCTATGTCGCCGAACTCTCACGTAGTTGACCGCGGTACGTGTCCCAGACCCGGTGGCTTAGAACTCACGCCAGGCATGTGTGCGTGCGTGCCCAAGATCCCAAGAGGAGAATGGAGGAGAAGGGATTGTGGCGTGACCATCACCCCTGGGGGGTGATTTCTCGCTTTCTGTCTCTCTGTCTCTCTCTGTCTGGCAAACGCATGTGCCCTATAGCGAAAACCTCTCCAAAAAAAAGAGAGAGAAAATTATAAAATGCCCTCTCAATTGCTAGCTCGCAATAGAAATAGTATAAAGCGTACTACGGAAAGGAAAGGTTCTAAAAAAATTTCTTAAAGCTGAATACTGTCAGAGTTAAAATGGGAAGTAACACGCCGGGCACATCTGTGTCCCTGAAATCCTCAGAGGACAGAGAAGGAACTGCAGCATGGCCACCCCCTGGGGGCAGGTCTCGCATTCTGTCTCTCTGGCAACTGCATGCGCCGCAGAGCCAAAGTCTCTCAAAAAAACAGGAGTAGCATCCAGGAAGTACTAAGGAAGGCTCAAGTGCTTGGTGCTTCTTAAATAAATGTCCTTGACTAATTCCACCTCTCATTACAGGGGACAGTGTTCAATCCCAGCTCAAAGCTCACCCTGGAGAAAAGAGGACTTGGTCCCTGTTGATTAGAACCCCTTTAAATTACTGCTGGGTTTCTGGCCTGTGGAATTTTATTTATGCTTCCTGTCCCTTTCTGAGACCTGTCCAGTGTCCAAGGCTGGCTGATTAGGTAATGACCTTGTTTGACCCCAGCACCAGAGTAAGAGTTCCAAGAAACACGGAGGTTTCTGTTCTTCTCTGGGCTTTGGAGCAGCGTACTCCTTGAAGGGGAGACAACGCTCAGCCAATGAAAAAGGACTTGCACTGGGGAGCCGCAGGTGGCGTGGTGGTCAAGGACGCTGGACTCCCCGGTGGCAGGCCTGGTTGAGTCCTGGACCTGGCAGCTTCCTTTCTCACTTCCTCTCTGGCCCTTTCTGGACAACTTAAAGTAAATAAATAAATAAAGTGAAATAAAAGAACTCTTCAAGAAATAATTCTTTGGGTGGGGGTGGGCAGCAGGTGGCACAGTGGCTAAGACGCTGGACTCCCACATGGCCAACTGTGGTTCAAATTCCAGACCCGGCAGCTCGAAGATCAGGCCGGGTGCATGTGCATGCGTGCCTCAGATCCCCAGAGGAGACTGAAGAAGGGACTGTGGCACCGCAGCCCCGAGGGGGTAACTTCTCGCTCTCGGGCGAGTGCACATGCCCTATAGCCAAAAATCCAAGCCATTTGGGCTTAATGCTCTGAGGGCAGCTACTTTCTCTGTGGTCTGGTACGGGGCAGGTTTTCGCTATGCTGCCCAGGGTGGCCGCGAACTGACAACCCTCTGGCGTCGGCTTCTGCAGCAGCTGGGATGACAAAGGACCCCCGTATGCCTGGCTTAGGAGTCATCCTTACAGGTGCCTTTCTGATGTATGGCTCCTGGCCTTCCTGCCTCTTGAACACTCAGCTCTCCTTAGGAGACAAGTCCTCCTCGACTTCTGAAAACTCTTCCTGTACAGGGACCGGCCCTTCCTCAGTGCTCGCTCGTGTCTGCGATGTTCTGCTCAAGTTTTCAGTTACTGTTTTCCTCCCATAAGGACCAGCTCTTAGCTCACTTAATCGAATTTATCTCCCATTTCACTAAGCTGTGCTTTTACAAAACAAAATCCGAGTTTGTTTGTTTTCCTTTTCGTTTGGTGTGGGCTGTGTGCGTTTGAGACAGACAAAAAAGGGGAAGAGAAATCGCACTCCCCACCCAGGGACGGCCACGCCACATCCCTGCTCCTCCACGTGCCTCCTGGGGTTTCGGGCGCACGCGTGCACACACGCACCCAGTGTGTGTCCAGCTGCACAGTTGGCCATGGGATCCAGCCTTAGCCTCCATGCCACCTGCCGGCCCCATCGTGTTCTCTTCCCCACCACCCGCCCTGTCCCGGAGAACAGGTGCACTTGCCAGAGAGAGAGGGGTAAACTGAGAAAGTACAGCCCAAGGGCCACGGTCTCGCAGCAGTTCCTTCTCCACCTCTCCATGTTTCCGGATCTAGGGCACACATACACGTGTGCCCGGGATGTTTTCCATCCAGTGGGGCCAGGACTCAAATTGCACGGTCAGCCCTACGGAATCCAGCCACCTTAGCCGCCACGCCACCTGCCGGCCCTGGTCCTGTGTTTTTTAAAGCACCCATTCTGATCTGGGGCAAGAGCGAAAGCAGATAATCAAGTGCTACTTGTGGTTTGCAAACCACAGCCTGCGCCTGCCCTCCCCAGCAGCTGCAGCGGCCCCCACTGGTCTGGTCGCTTTGGAGCTGTGCATGTTTTTCCACTGGGTGCAAGAAGCCAGAAAGCTTAGCTAAAGGTCAGCTTCTTAGACCTATTTCAGCTCCCTCCTTCCCGACACAAGGAGGTCGTCACGGAGTCCATGGAGAGAAGGCCAGCCCACCCTCACACGGACAGACAGAGGGACGGAGGGGTGTGGGCGCGTCACGACTCCTTCTCCACTTCCTCACCTGTCAGGATTCCAGGCCCAGTGCACGCACACCTGTCCAGTGTGTTTTGACGAGCGACGTGGCTGGGCCTGGGGATCTGGCTGCCTTAACCGCTAGGCCTCAGGCTGGCCCCTTAGCCCTCGAGACTAATATGTGCAGTAACTCCCGGAGACTCCCGCTGAGAAGCCCCTGCTTCTAGAAAATTACAGACCGTCAGCAGGGACACGCCTTGACCTGCATGAGGTGCCTGCTGGCCGGGGTCAGGCCCTGGCGACATTTGGGGCCAGCCACCTGCCAGGCCATAGGCTGTTTATGGAACACGGGCTGGGAATCTATGCTGAGAAGCTCATGTTTCCAGAAGGAGGGATTCGCCTCTCCGACTGCACCTCCCGACGCTGTATTTTTAGCCCCAACTTAACTCCCAAATGCCAGAGGGCAACCCCTCACCCCCTGACCTTATGGGGTGGCATTTTCTGTACTCTGAACGGGAAGCACTGAAGTCAAGAGGGAAAAGCTTCCCCCTCTACGACTCCCCCTCCGGGCTGGCCTGAAATCCCACAGCCTACAGGAAGTCCATGAGGGCTTACAGCCGCGTCCCACAGGGAGCCCCCACCCTCAGGAGTACCTGTTCTGACCCTGAGAACAGAGGCAGAGTGGGGCTGCCCCTGGTCTCCAGGCAAGGCCCCTGCCCACAGGACCAGCCAGCTAGTGACAGCCTGGGCACAGGGACCAGGAGTCCTGAGGGCACACTGAGAGCCCAGCTGTGATGCACCAGCACCCTGGGGAGGGACAGCCAGAAACACGGTGGAGTGTGGCACTGGACGCTGGGCAGGGTCGGCATGACAGCTCGGGCCTTAGCCCACAGTAGCAGAAGCCCTTCCCGGGGCCTGTCCAGTTAGCCTGGGCCCGACTGGGCCAGGACCAATCTGCCGGGTGACCTGGCATTCCCCACAGCAGCAGCTGCTGCAGAGACCCTGAGCAGGAGCGTCCGGCATGTGGTCCGACACCTGACGGCTTAGGGGGCTTCTGGGAGGACTGCGGCCAGCTCGGGTGGCAGGGAGGAGGAAGGGGCTGCGATGGGCTGGTCAAGGCAACCTAGCTGCGGGCCGAGGATCCCGGACACAAGCCCGCCCGGGCCGGGGTGGCTCAGTGGACACTGCGGCCTCCCGTGCCTGCCGACGCTCACCTCGTGGGTGCCGTGAGAGAAGTTGAGGCGAGCCACGTTCATCCCAGACTTGATCATCTCCTTCAGCGTCTCCACCGACCGGGACGCGGGGCCTACGGGAGGGTGAAGCCAGACGTGAACGACTGGGAGGACAAGCACTGCGAGTTCGCCTCAGCCTAAGGGACTCTCAGGTTAGCCCCACGGCCTAGTGGGAAAGCCAAACTGAGGGGGTCAAACCGCGGCACCAGCACCCTGCTATAGCTGCGTGAGTCTTGCCCACAATCTTTCTCTTCTTTTTTTAAATAATTATTTTGGGGCTGGCAGGTGGTATGGAGGCTAAGGGCACTGGACTCCCACATGGCCAACCGTGGTTGGAGTCCCAGACCTGGAAGCTTACTTTCTCACTTTCTCTCTCTCTGTCCCACTCTGGTCAAATTTTTTAAAAAGATAAAGGTAAGTGAACAAATAAAGCTAAATAAAACGATGATTTTTTAAAAAGAATTATTTTTACTTACTTATGTATTTTTAATTTCTATCAGAGAGGGCAGAGTGAAAGAGAGAGAGAGAGAAACGGAGAAAGCAAGCAGCCAGGTCTGGGACTGTAACCGCGGTCGGCCCTGTGGGAGTCCAGCGCCCTTAGCCACCACGCCACCGGCTGGCCCCACCCTCCCCAAGTCCTGGTGGGGCAGAGGAACGAAGGAAGAGGTTGTGGTGCCAGTTCGCTCTGGTGAGCACACATACCCTCTGGCTTGTAAAAAGCTTATGAAGAAACTCGATTTTCTATTCCCCTAAAGGTCTCCACCCCCGCACAGCTGTAAGTCTTCCAGAAGTGCTCGTAAGACTCATACTGTGCAGCACCCCGTTTCTTGACTGGAGGGGACACGTCTCCCGTCTCCTTCGACGGTGAGCGTCCAGCCAGAGGTTTCAGCAGGGGCGTCCCAGGCCTCAGGCGCTCTGAGGAAGACACGCTCGACCTTCTGCCACGGTCACCGTGACAGCTGCCACCCCAGTTCTCGCTGGAGCCGAGGGCGCCCTGCTCAGCACCGCGGCGTGCAGCTGCAGGGCAGAGCCCGTGGGGACGCTCACCGATGGTGCAGATGATGCCGGTGTTGCGGGCGGTGATGGGCGCCGAATCGATGTCCAGGCGACACATGTGCTCCAGGAACGTGTCGGCCATGGCCGCGTGCAGCTGCTGGGTCTGGATGAAGGCGGTCCCGGCCTCGCTGTGCGGCTTCGACATGGCTTCGGGGGTTCTGGGCACAGGGGTCAGAGAGAGGGGTCAGAAGACGGGATCAACGGGCCAGGTGGCCCCGGAGGCCAGACGCACGCTTGTGTGGGTGCCCCCATCCCGGGCAGAGGGCCAGCAGAAGACCTGAAGGCGTGAGTCAGAGCCTCCACCCGGCGTGCATTCCCGGCCCTGTCAGCACTGGGTGACACCCTCCCACACCACCGGACACGCCCAGGGCAGCTCCCAGGTCTTGTGTGACAACGGGCTCCAAGCTGCGGAGACCTGCCCGCCTCTTCACCATCCTCACTCCAGACCAGAGCGATGACTCCGAATGCAAAATCTGCCGTAGCAGGAGCCCGCCCCCAAAACCACATCTACTTCCGGTCAGAGGGACCTCAGGACACCGAGGCACTCCGCGCATACCCCGGGGGGGGCCACGATGGTGCTAGGGTGGACCTAAGGTCACTACAACTCCACGGGCAGGGCAGGGCAGCTGTCGCACTTCGGCGTTCAAGCTGCTGGTCAGATCCGCCCCCGCTGGTCTCCGGCCAGGCCGACTCCACCAAGTCTGACCCATGCACCGCGCTCCTAACGAGGACCATCCGTTCCAGGCAATTAAGCAGCCCCGGTCGCGGACCTGCCGCCCGCCTGCCCGCCCTTTGCTGCCTTCACTACACTCAGCCTGCTCGCTGGCTCCGATCAGACAGCAGGACGTTTCTGGCCAGTGCCTGAGGAGCCATCGGGAGGATGAGCCAAAGCTGGGCTTCCGAAGGCTCCCCTTTCCTCGGGTCCTCGGACCAAGGGCTGCCCCTCCTCCAAGCCCTGAGCCCAAATGCTCCAGACTCAGCCCAAGGCTCAGGAACAAGTCCCCTTTGGCCCTGCCCCATGTCCACCTAGATCCCACGGCCCCAAATCATGGCACCCCACACCTGTGACCCCGTTTTCTCTTTCTCTGCCTTGTGGCCTCCCTGGGTGGCTCCAGAACATCCTCCGGGCCCAGCTCTAACGCCTCCCAGAAAGCCACCAAAGGCCACGGAGCTTGTGACCACGGGTGCAGACCACCAGAAGGCCAGTCCTCGACTACAGTATCTGAAACTCCAACGATGGGGACAGTGGCAGGGGGCCACGTGCCGTGGACCTCAGCGTGGACCCCTGACCCCCGACATGGAAGCTCCACAACGCAAAGGGTTCCCCTCTCTAGGCCCCGCCTGGCTTTGTCCCTCCAGCTCCAGGCACTTGGAGGCAGTCCAGCATCCAGTGACCTCCCGGCCTAGCTCAGTGCCTGCCAGTCGAAGCTGTGCCTCTGCTCCCCCCTGCCCACATCTGAGGGACCTGAAGCCCGACAGGACAGCCGAGGTGGCCAGGGCCCCCGTGTCCACGCTCTTCACATCCAGACTTGGACAACGAAAAAAAAATCCGGACTTGGACAAAGCTGGCTGCTCAGAGAGCACCTCCATAGTACACTGAGCCCACGGCACAAAGGCCTTGCCGAGGCCACCAAGGAGAGGTGGCACCGGCCCCAGGACGGCAGGTGTGCAGAGGTCTGCAGGGGCGCTGGGCTCCCTCGTCCCCTGCTTCTTCAAAGTCCCGTGCCGGGTCTTCTCTAGACCCCGAGGCCAGGTCTCCGCCCAGAGACGTGGCTGGGGCCGTTGATGAGCAGACCATACCTTTGCTTCTCGGGGCTTGGGCTTCCGGTGACATAATGCTCTGTGTTGGGCTCAGGGTGGCGCCTTGGCCCCACTTGCAAAGACCGCTCGGAGCTGAGTAAGGTCTGCCCTGGAGAGCTGCACAGGATTAAGGCAAAAGCTGAGTGTGACTGACGCTCTTTGGGGTCCTGGAAACTGCCTTACTAACCGGGATCCTGGAGGCGGCTGCCCCTGCGGGCTCAGCTAAGTTCCAGGAGCGCCTTGCAAGAGAAACTGCTCACAGAAAACCCACGGGAGGAAGTGGGTTCTTACTCGCTGCCCCGTGGTGCTGTATCTCCTCCCCAATACCCAGGCGGCCTGAACCCCCGTCTCTAAACCTGGGAGACACTAACATCCTCCTCGATTCTAGGGAAAAACCTGGGCCCTCCCCTTTTGGGGGAAAGGACAGAGGTCTTCAAGTCTTCACAAACGTCATAGGGGATGGAGTCAGAAGTTCGAGGCTGGGGCCAGCAGGTGGCATGCTGGTAAAGGTCATGAACTCCCACATGGCTGACTGTGGCCTGAGTGCCCCAAATCCCAGGAGAGTGGAGGAGGGACTGTGGTGTGGCCCTCCCTGCTGGGAGCTGATTTCTCATGTTCCCGCTCAGTGTCCCTGTCTCCAGTGAGGGCATGTGCCTTATGACAAAAACTTAAAAAAAAAAAAAAAAAAAGTTCCAGGTAATTTTTGGTACCCTAAAACCCATGAATCCCTGTAGATTTTTTTTCTTATTATGCATTTTCTGTGAGCTGCTTGAAGAGCTCCCCCAATATATACTAAAACTTTGACAGCGTACTCTCTAGGGGGCAGGATTACAGGGGATTACAGCATAACAGATTCTTCCCTCTCATCTACTGACATGGGATACTCTCCTAAGAAAAATGGCAAGTCTGTCTTTCCTGAAATAATCTACTCCTAAGCATCCTGTAAAACAGAGGGACAAAATGTGGTAGTCGTGAACGTGTCTCGGCGTTTCAGGACTGCTTCCAGCAGGATGGCCGGGTGCCAGGCCTCGAGCGGACGTGCACCAAGGGACGGCTTCTATGGCTGGGGAGACGGACCTCGATCATTCACAGTCTCGGGGGAAAGGTCATGCCACCTGCAGGACGCTTCACGCCCAAACCCGTTAGTTACATGCCAGTCCAGCCTACCGCCCTTCCTGTTTAGTCTGTTCGAGCCTCACAGTACAACTTCTGTGGCAAATCCTTCTGGAACAGAAGGGCTGCTTCCAGGACCAGGAGGTGCCCTTGGCAGACATAATTATGCGGGCCTCGAACGGAAACGTATTCCACCATCTTAAATTAAATAGACGTAGACAAGTTCTAACTTTCGGCTATTCAGTAGAAAAATGCCAAGTAAAATTGGCTTGGTATTTTAGCGGCTTTACAAACTAGCAGCCAGAAAAGGCTGTGAGTCAGCAAGTCGGTCCAGACCATGTCCTCACTGTCCCTGCCTGGCTGGCTCTCCTCTCAGGCCGGTCTGCCGGGTTCCCCACAAGCCTCCCATCTTGACACGAGCTGCCATCCCTCCACCCACCTGCATACAGGGGTGCTGTGCTGTCACTCTCTCTGATCTCCCCAGCCCTGGGGCGCAGCCCCACCCTCGGTGTCTCAGGCAGCTTCTGAAACGGGGTCCCCTCCCTGCCGCCTGCAGCCTGGACACAGCCTGCCAGGACAGGCCAGTGACTCACCACGGCACCCTCCCCCAGCAAGGCACGGACACACAGAGCCACCTCCCGCCTGCGGTCCTCCGGCAGCAAGCGCCATGCCAGGGCGCAGGGGCCTCACGGCCAGGCCTGAGCCGCCACAGGAGGCTCCTCACAGCCATGCTCTGCTGCGCGAGGTCTGGCTGGGGGGCGGCAGGCTGCAGCGGGCACAGGCCGTCCTCCCTCAGTGCCTGCTCCTGGCTCTTCATACTAGTTCCCTCGTGCCAGACAATTCTCTGGCTATCGTGCAGGGACCCGGGGGGAAGATCCACACGGTGGTCAGGGTTCCCTGGGAAAGCCTGTCTTTCACAGCGGTCCAACCATCCTGCCCTAACTACCCAGTGCAGTCTGGGTGTCCGCGTCTACACGGCCACTCCATAACCGGCAAGGCTGTGTGCCACCCCACTGCTCTGACTAACCCCATAACCACGTGCTGGCTGCTTCCCTCCAGCATCGCCACGCCGCCTGCACCCCAAGTCTGCACACACCCCCACAGGCTGTCCACGCTCAGCTCCGGAACCCAGCAGCCACCAGAAAGCTGCACCGGTCAGGCTGACACGGGGTCGGCATGGACCAGGAGGAGAACTTCCAAGACGGGCCCTGGTGGGCTCGTGGCAGCAACCCAATCGGAAGGGGTGACAGTGGTGACAACTGTGTGTGGGCACATGCGTGGGATGAGGTGGATGAGACCTCCGGCAGCTGAGACCCAGTGAGCAGTGTGCACTGGCCGCCGGCAGGCCCGGGACCGGAGCGATGTCTGCTGTTACTGGCCTATGTTCGGGAAGCCAAGCCCGCCTACGGGTTCAAATAAAACTCCCTTGCTAAATACAGCCGGACAGCAAAAACCCTGGCTCTTATTTCCTCGAGGCGACAGTTAAGTGACCTAGACCCTATCAGCACACACTAGGTCCTATTTCAAACTAGAGTGTGAGAGGCCACTCGAGTGCCGTTCAGTGGGTCTCCCCCAGGACCACCCACCGCAGGAGGCCTGATCAGAGAGCACTAGGACCAAGGAGGCCCGGCCCACGTGGGTGCTCTGGGGAGGTGCAACTTGTTGGAGTGCGGCTGGGCTTGGCTCGTGCCAGGACACTGGCCTCCCTCTAGGCCCCAGAGCTGGACAGTGCCTCAGGATGACAGCAAGGGACCTGGAACCCTGAGTCAGGGGCCCACCAAGCCTGTGGGACCAGGTGGGTGATAGCCTCTACGTGCAGGGGAGGGGCTGCCCTGCACTGGCTGGGGTGAAATGGGCGGGCAGGCGGGCTGGCTCTGCAGAAGCCCTGGCCTATGCAGCCCGAGGCCCCCACAGGGCGCCTCTCCTGTTTTGAGCTAAAGAGGAAAAGGAAAAACAAAAAAAAAAGGACGATGTCTGTATTTCTACCTCTGAAATCGGACCATTAACTCTGAGCCACATTTTTTAGGGTTTCTAAAAATAAAATCAATTAACATTCTAATATTGGAAGTCTTGGCACATTTTTGCATAGAAAAGCAGAAACAGAAATCATGATTTTTTCTGAGGCCTTAACAATCTTCCTTCCATTTAAATACCTCCCCCCTCCTCCAGGGCCCTCCAGCCCTCCGTCACCCACTACTGCCACGAACTGTGTCTTCCAGGCCTGTCTTTGTAGTGACCTACAGCTATCCCGGCCCTGTGGTTTTCTGTTTTTTTTTTTTTAGAGAGAGAGATTTTTGCTATGGAGTGCATGCACTCACTGGAGAGACAGAGACACAAAGTGAGAATCACTTTGGGGGGGGATGGTCATGCCCGCAGCCTCTTCTCCTCCACTCTACTCAAGGGGTTTGGGGCACACATGTACACGGGCCCAATCTGAGTTTTAAGCCACTGGGTCCGGGACTTGAACCACAGTTGACTAGGTGGAGTCCAGCGATGTACCAGCGAGTGACTCGCCTTTCCCTCCAGCCCACGTCCATAGCAGCGCACTGTGGAAACTGTTCCTGCATCACAGGCTCCCTACCGGGTCCTTCCTGCCCACCCTGCTCCTCCCTGAAGCTGCCTTCCCCGCACTAAGTACTGCTCTTACTCCGCTCTGCGGGCCCTCACCTCCTGCATGCGTTCTTCTACACATCTGGAAGCCGGTTTTTAGGCAACCGAGTGTGTTTGTTTTGCTTTGTTTTTGCTACAGGGTGCATGCGCTCATAGGAAAGTGAGAAATCACCTCCTGAGGGGATGGCCACACCTTATCCCATCTCCTCCACACTCCTCTTGGGATCTTGGACACCCACAAACATGCACTGGGAACTTCCTCCAGCCATCAGGTCTGGGACTCGAAACACACAGTGTGCAGGACCCAGCCACCTTCCCCACGACACCATCGGCTGGAGTGCTGAGCTGCTCTCCAAAGTGGTCCCATCACTCTGGAACCAGCTAGCCGGTAACGCGAGGTTGGGCCTTCCCACACCTTTGCCAACACTTGAAACCAGCACACTTCAAACGTCTGCCCCCCTGACGGGTGGCTGCCGGCCTGCTCTAACCACGAGGGGACGGGACAGCACCAACACTCGAGGCTGGTCAACTGGGAAGCTCCAGGTTTGGAGACCCCCCTCAGGAGGGGGGGAGGATCAGAGTTAAGACCCTGTGGGAGGTGCTTATTCATTAAGAAATTAATAAATGGCAGGTGGCATGGTGGTTAAAGGTGCTGGACTCCCCACATACTCAACCATGGTTCAAGTCCCAGACGTGGAGGCTTGCTTTCTTGCTTTCCCTTTCTCTCTCTGGTCAAATTAAAAAATGATAATAAAAGGAATTAAATAAATGAATAAATAATTCTTTTTAAAAAGCAGACTAATTAATAAGTAAAATGAAATAAATTACGAAAAGAAGGATAGTTTCGAACTCTGCTAAGTCTCTACTGCCCTAACTCTTAACGGTTACACCTCCCAGGCTCTTGCAGGCTGGACACGGTGGCCACATGAGTCACACGTGCCAGGACCAACTGTGCTGACTGGTGGGCGACTCTTCTGCACTCACTGCCAGAGACGGGGAGACGTTTTCTGGGGCTCCCTTCAGACTCCTGACTGCGGGGCGGCTGGGCCGCACGCTGGCTGCTGGGACTAGCCACCTCGCTGCCCTACTTAGCGGGTCTCGGCATCTCCGGGGCCTGGGCGCCCAGGCCGCAGTCCGCCTGCAGCTCGCGGCACAGCGGGTGAGTCTCGAACCGCGCTCAGCGGCCGCCCGAGGTACTGCAGCCAGAGGCCCGCCTTCCTACGTGCGGTGCGGCACACACCTCCGGCGCCGCAGGGGAGCCTCGGCCCCAGCCTCCCCCCACAGGCCCGGCAGCCATCACGCCGCCACCCACCCTACCCGCGCCCCCCGCAACCGCTCTGCAATCCGGACACTCAATTACCCACTCTCGGGCTGGCCGGCCTGGCG